ATAAACTCAGGGAAAGCCACTGTATATAAACGGATTTCCTCCCTAAGCTGCTCCGCCAATATAATCGCAGTGAGAGCTTGATCCCCAAAGACTCTTCGGCACCTCTCCTTCCAGACCGCATTTACACACCAACACCATATCGCCGCTTCAACCATCCCACAGCTTCCTTTCTCCCGGACTCTGGCTGCAATCTCATTCAAAAACACAGGCCAACTTGCAGGCCACTAAAGCTGCTGGAAATTTGCAGAAAATTATTTTGGATTTTTTAAATTGTTTTGAGCCTCTGCGGGTGTTTGTTCCTAGGTTTAACAATTTTATAAATTGAAGGACGTCTATGAGATGACTCTAATTTAATTTGGCGATTTTTGAAAATGTATTACTATTTTTAGAAATTGGTCGAATGTTCATTTTAATTAATTAAAATTCTTGCAGAGGGATTTTTAGGGGTTTGATAATTTTCCATGGTACTTGTTCTCATGATTGACATGGAAAAATTATGCTCCGATTTTATTAAGAAGGTTCAAGTAATTGAACAATTCATCCAAGACGAAATTAATTAGGAAAGATGGTTGGTTTTGAAGGGATTATCTTTAGAAAAATTGTTAAAAGAGGTTAAGGGATCTTTGGAGTGAGCTTTGAGGATGGGACTTTCAGGAGAGGGTGTCTGGGTAAATAAAAAGGGTTTTTAAATTGAGAAAAGTCATCTAAGAAAATGAATTCTTATTAATAGGTTTCCCCAAGACAATCCGGCTAAGGAGGGGTTTCTTCGAGGAACGAATCAAGGAGTAATCTTTTCGAGGTGAGTGTAAAAGGGGTAAAATCACTGTCGTAGGTCTTTTAGTTTATGCTTTTCATTCAAGTTATTCATTAGTTAATTTTGAGATGTGTGTGTGAGGCATCCCACCGCCTGTAAGGGTGGAGGCACGCGTTGTGCTATGTATGAATGTATGGATGTATGATTGTGATAGTTGATTAATGGTAAGATGAACCCCATGGCGGTTGGGCCACTACTGGACACGGTAGATTGTCGGGTCACTGCTGGACGGCGAGACGTAACGTGTTGGGGTCACTACTGGACGGCGAGACGTAACGTAGTGCCATTGCCGAGCGTGGGTATGCAACCGGACGGCGAGACGTAACGCGGTTGGCATACTAGGGTAGGGACATTGGACGGCGAGACATAGCGTGGTGGTCCCCAGTGTTGGTGTCTATGGATTAAGAATATAAGTAAGGAAATTCTAAAGATAAGATAGGAGTAGATATCTCTTATAGACTGTTTGATAACAAAGTATAAAGGATGAAGGCGAGAACGACTTTTGTCTAAGTCAAGAACCCTAATAACGTGTTTAGTAAGGAGTTTGCCTAGGGTAAAGACCTTAGGAAGTAACGACGAGACTGACCCCTTCTCACTCACCAGGTCAAGGAAGGGTTAACAGAGGCGGACTTCGAGAAGATGTGAGGCGAGTAGCTGCACCAGCATTGATGAAAAGTCAAGGAACTCGTGAAGAGTCAGAGCTAGAATAGTTTGATTTCTTTGTTACATGGTTAGGAGTGTAAACTGGAGATTCTAAGTTCATTCATTTTAAGTATTGGGATTGTCATTTGCCCAAGTGTTCAGGCTTTTTGTTTGAAATTCTTACACATTGTCGGATTTTTTATTCTAAAAAGTTGTTTGGGTTGCTCCGGAGTAACCGGTTTGTGGTTTGAGTTACAGTTTGATTTTCAAAAAGGATCGGGTCATTTCAACAAGCGGCTCTCAATCGGACAGAACAAATCGGCCACCCAGAGATCACCCCATTCCGGGAGTACCCCAAGGGTTAAAAAGAGGAGGGTCAGGATTCACGGCAGGGATCCAATTGTCACGTAGGACGGACACTCCCCTACCATTCCCAATCAACCATCGAAGATCCCTCACCAAAAGTTGCCTCCCGTACAAAATGCCCTGCCAATCCCAGGGAAAGGTGAGAGCGTGTCGTAGCCTCGAGGAAAGTGCCATTTGGAAAGTACTTCCCTTTATACACCTGAGCAAGGAGAGACTCGGGTTCATTCAGTATTCGCCAACCGATTTTGGCTAATAAAGCCTGGTTAAAATGCTCAAACCGACAAAAGCCCATCCCTCCCTCATGCTTACTACGACACATCTTACGCCAAGACATCCATTATATACGGGAATGCCCATCCTCCACTCCCCATCAAAACCGTGCCACCAGCCTATCCAAAATTCTACAAAGAGATAGCGGGAGTTTAAAGTAGGACACCACGTGCAATGGGAGAGCTGAGGCAACAGATTTGATCAAGGTTTCCTTAGCTGCTGGGGATAAAGTTCGTTGGGCCCACCCTTGGAGGCGTCCATCAACCTTTTCTCAACAAAATGAAAAGTGGCCACTTTAGAATGAGCTATGAGGGTGGGTAGACCCAAATACTTATCATGAACTTCCACAGCTCCCACCCCTAAGATTTGGGCCAAGAATTTCTGATCAGGGATGGATACGTTTTTACTAAAACATACCGTCGACTTCCCCAAATTAACTCGTTGCCCACTTAGTTCCTCATACTCATGAAGAACCTCAATAAGATTATCACATTGTTGCAAAAAACAAATGAGAGATCCTAGGGGCCCGAGGCGCCACTTTCACACCTTCCAACTTCCTTCAAAAATAGCTTACGGAGAAGGGCCGCAAACCCTTCCGTACACAACACAAACAAAATAGGGGAAAGAGTAGGGATGACAATCTGAACCCGCCCCGCCGGGTATTACCCGACCTGACCCGCGATGGGGCGGGTATTACCCGACCCGCAGTAGCGTGGGGCGGGGCATGGGTATCAATTTTCGACCAGCCCTGAACCGCCCCGCCCCATTCTTGGCCCATTCTAGGTCAATTTCTTACCCCATCCATTCATATATCTCCTATTTTGGCTTTTCTTCAACTAGTTAGACTTGATCTTTCAACTAAATAGACTCAGTTACCCATTACATTATCACTATTATTCATTCATAAAGTCTTTTCCCTTTCGTTTTATCATTAAAAGTAAAATTTAGTGTGTATTTTTCTCAAATAGCATGTAAGAGTGGGTCGTCCCGCCCCGCCCCGTACCCGCGCGGGTATTACCCGCCCCGACCCGTACTAGCGCGGGGCAGGGCATGGGTATTGACGTACCCGCCCCGCCCCGACCCATTGCCATCACTAGGAAAGAGGGTCCCCCTGACGAAGACCACGCGTGGGTTTGAAAAAATCCGACGGGGATCCATTCAGTATGGAGAATGACGACGAGCTGAGGCATTCCTGAATCCAGTCAATCCAGGTTGGGCTGAAACCTGGTTTGGCCAACACCGCATTGATTGATTTGATTTGATTAACCGCTTTGATTCTCGTCTTGCAGGTTGGAAAGCTGCCACGATGTCTCTTGCAGCTAGAGTCACCTTGGCTCAGTCTGTATTGTCCTTGCTCCCAGCGTATACTATGCAGACGGCCTTTCTCCCTGCAAGCGTTCACGACTACATCGACAAGAAAATCATAGACTTTGTCTGGGGAAGCACGGTGGGTGGCCGGAAGATTCATCTTGTTGACTGGACTACTCTATGTGCTCCGTAAGAGGAGGGAGGACTAGCTCTTCCAGACTCGAGGCGCACGAACGATGTGTACATGTTGAAACTCGTAAGGCGGATGCTGACAAATCCGAAGGAGCTTTGGGTCCGCCTAGTCAGAGTCAAATATTTTCAAGTCATGGAGGGTGAGTATGTTCCATGCACTCAAGGAAGGATCTCCAACCTTGGAGAGGTGTTTTACGAGTGGGGCACTTGATTGAGGTCGGCTCTCTTTGGAACGTGGGAAACAGACGTATTGCGAGGTTCTGGAGCGACCGGTAGATTAATGACGGAGAACCACTTGCAGCTTTTGCACCCGATCTGCCTCATGAGGCATTAAAGCTTCAGGTGGCGGATTTCGTCCCGAATGGTGATTGGAACATTGATTACTTGCGTGCTTTCTTACCCTCTTCAATTGTTGCGCAGGTACTCCTTCATCCCATACCAGCGGAACAAGAGGAAGATGTCCAACTCTGGAGACTCACCGTCGACGGGAAATTCTCTGTCCAGCGTACCAGCTGCTGGAACAAGCCCGGAGGCCCACTCGACACATCCGATTTGGAGTAGACGCCATCTTACCCAAGACGACTAGTGCAAATTTTATGGAGGAGGACCGGAGACTACCATTCACATATTGCGAGAGTGTTCATTAGCTAGAGCAACTTGGGCTAACCTGCTGGATTCCGAACCTGATGCAGACTTCTTCAACCAGCCCCTGCGTCAATGGTTGTTTCATTACATTGCAGGACGCAATCCCATTGTGGATAGCACGCTTTTCGCTTGCACTGTTTGGCTTCTGTGGAAGAACCGGAATAGCCATGTGTTCCAAGGTGAGCTATACAGTCCCTTGCACAAATCCAGTTTCACACAAAGCAGCTAAAGCAGCAGATTCTTGCTGTTCTCGAGAAGGAGACCAACACGTTTGGAGGAGGGGGACCTCCAGTGAGACAGTTAATCCGATGGCAACCACGACCACAGGACTGGGTATGCCTGAACACCGACGATTCGGCTATTCACTCTCCTTCTAGCACGGCAGCGAGCGGAATCGTTAGGGGGGTGATGGCCGTTTTATCAGAGCTTTCACGGTGAATCTGGGAGGGGATTCCATCACTCGTGCAGAGCTGGCTGGGATTGTGCAGGGACTGAAACTTACCTGGAGCTAGGGGCTAGGAAGGAAATTCTCCAAACCGACTCTCTTATAGCGAAGACCCTCATTGAGACGACTGCACATCAGCATCCACACTTTACAGCCATAGCTGAGATACGACGTTGGCTTCAGCGTCCGTGGCAAGTTCGGATTGACAATGTTTATAGGGAGGGAAACTATGTTGCAGACTACTTGGCCTTCCTCGGGCGGAGCCATGATGTAGGGATCCATATTATTGATATTCCCTCGAACTCTCTTGCTTACTAGTTGTACTTTGACATAATTGGAGTGGAAACACCCCGTCTTATTAATGCATAAAGGTTGGGCGCTCTTTAACTGCTCCGTTTTCCAACCCAAAAAAAAAGAAATATATAAAAGAAACTCTTCAAGCTAATTCAAATTGATTTGAATAAATAGTGTGATTGACAATCTTCCTACACATAGCCTGAATCCATTCGACAATAATAACAGTTGAGAAACGGAAACACGAATCGTCTTAGCTAACAATGCCACTGGCCTAGCAATGAGCTTACCAGTGTAATCTGATCTAGAATTTCTGCATCACGACCGAATTCGCGATCTCAGCGTCCTTTATCGTCTGATCAGGATCAGTGAGCTGTCTGGGAGGAAACCCCATTGTCTGCAGCTGGAAATCTTGACCTTCACCAGGTCTCGATGCCACAATGAAAGCACGCACATCTCTTATGGTGTGGTGGAGGTTGAACCGGGACACCATCCGGGTCCCATCTGCCAACCTGAGCTGAATCGATGTTGTTGGTGATGAAGAATCTACGGTGAGACCGACTGAGGGAGCTGGAGCAGACTTCAACGGTGGGGCTGCTGGTGACTCTGATGCTGAGGCTCCACCATCACCCGTAGTTCCCAGAGTTCTGCCCACGCCTTGGAAGACTGGTTTCTTCTTTGCTGGTTCCTGCATTGAAAGGGATGGGAGGGGAATTGATAAACGAGATGAATCGACAAATGGATAGATAGAGGGCGAAGATCGAGAGCTCACTGCGTAGTTTTCATCCCGTCTCACAAGGGCGAGATGGACTTTAGTTCTCCTGTCTGCTGGTTCCAGCTCTCTTGGACACTCAGACCTCTGAACACTCTGCAATATGGTATAGACGAGTAGCAACATAAGGGCAATAATATCTTCCACAGATGCAACATCGTATCTTTCCATTGGAAGATTCCAACTTCACATACAAGGCAAGACAGAGATACAGACAACAGCTTCTCAAGCGGGCTATATGCCAGCAACACAGAACCATTCTCTTTGGAATGATATTTGTCTCAATCACATGGTTTTTTATTTTGCATGTTAATATTTGCCGAAAACTATTGTTCAATTTAGTGCATTTGTATAGACAATTGCTTCGGAAACGTGAAGGAACACGCTCGAAACCAATTTTTCTTGCGTGTATTGTTTATACGCTTTAATGCATGAGACATAAGCAGATTTTAACCCGCCAAACCCAACCAAAAGACCTGTGAACATGAACTGAATACATGGCAGAAGCAATCTGGAAACTTTGAACCAGCTGGTAGACTTGTGGGGAAGCTAAAGAACGAGATCAAGCACTACAGAGTATTCACAATAATGCAACCACAACAGAATGTGGCAAGAACATATGGTTCATAAGCATTTACCTCAAGGAAGTCAGCATTAGCAGGATCATTCAGCCTCCTCAAAGGTCCATCATTGACAGTGAAGCCATTCCTCCAGAGAGTGATGGTATGATTGACAGACTCAGGAGGCTGTACAGAAGTAGGAACTGTCTCCCCAGTGAGTAGTCTCCCAGTTCCAGTAAAGCTTCTGGAAGCCGAAGAAGACCGAGCAGAAGAATCCTCAGGCCTTTGAACAGCTCCTGAGTTTCTAGCCTGGTCGAAAATGGAATCGGCATCATAGCGCCTTGTAGGATCTTGGACTAGCATGCCGCTGTAACAATTAATGTCAATGAAGCAAACATCATCAGCCAAAAAACAATCATTCATCAGTACTGGATTCAGCATCAAACAATCACACCATTCATGGCTAACAGTTCAAGAATTGCTCAATAAACGGCTAAATCCAAAAAAAGTTGCCTCCATAGTATCGACATTGAAGCCAAATTTCAAATTTTTCTGACACTTAAGCTAGGGTACTAAATGGTTTCCATTATTTTACCTCTTCTCGCCGCCGGTGTAATACTCCTGCGGCTCGTCGTCGTCATCATCGCTGTCAGAACCGCCAGGGGTCCGGTTGAGATCAGCCAAAGTCCTAATTCCACCACGATTCCCACTCCCACTAGCCCCGGCCGTACCAGTCTTCTTATTCTTCTTCTCCCCTCTCTGCCTCAGCTGGTAAGGCAACCTAGACATAGTGGCGGGAGCAGGGGACAGGGAGCGGGATCGTGACCTAGACCTAGCAGGAGACTGAGAGGGGGAATAGTTAGGAGACATCGATTCGTCCGGCGAATCAGTGGGAGAAGGAGTGCCGCCGCCGCCACCACCGCCAGTCGGAGGAGCAGCAGGAACAGCAGAAGAAGGGGCGACAGCGACAGCGGCGTTATCGTTGTCGAGGAAGGTGGAGACGGCGGCGTCGAGATCCCATTGGTGGCTCTCGAGGAAGAAAGCGGCTTCCTGCCTGGTGGAGGAGGTGATCTCGCAGAAGGAATCGACAAGAGCGGAATTGGCGGTGTCACTGAGATCGAGATTCCCGCCGGCGGCTTCCATGTTCGGTTTCGGGGGTGTCGCCGGACCTCTGGGCGTACGATAGATGTGAGGCGGCGGCTGGGTTAAGGGTAGATTTTTTTGGGGGAATTGGAAGAAGGGAGAAATCAGAAAAGAAGAATTCAGATTTTTTTGGGTTTGCAGCTATTCCATTCCTTGAACCCACCGTATTACATTCTTTTCCTAACGTTTCGTTTCTCTTGGGGTTGCAAATGAACCAAACGGTTCGACTCGGAAAAAGCTCGTTCGATATAGGAGTGTTCAAATGGTTACCATGGTTATTACTAAATCAAATAAGACTAAATTTCATTAACCATGTAATACAATATCATAACCAAACCGTTCAAATTAATACAACAACCAAATTAACCAAACTAAAGTTTAATCGGTTTGGTTAATTGGTTAACCAGATTAACCAATATAAAATCATATATATCATTAAGTGAGAAAATTTTCGGTTAATTTGTCAATTCACACTTTATATAATGAATAAAACATAACAATCAACACATATTTATAGTTGACCCTTAACATAAATACATGCAACTAAGACAATTATCTTACGGCTAGTACAGAAGTATTCACCTAACAAAAATTTTATCACAATGATATGGGTTAATGAATTGTTGTGTTCTTTTGAATTGACTTAGTCTTTTAGCAATTTTCATAGGCTGAAAAGGACCTTGCTATCAAGTTTTCATCCAACATAATGTATGAGATTTATCTAAATTAGACGTTCATATGTTGTGGTCTACAGTCTACATATACAAATATTCATTATAGGAACAATATCAAGCTTTATATTTTATGAGTCTAAAAGAATGAACGTTTAACTCTTGAGTGGTTATTCAAAGTATTAAGTATGTGTATATATTGGATATATGACTAATTATTTATCTGGTTAATTTGGTTTGGCTGGTTAGGAGTGTCTGAAACCAAACCAAACCACCTAAACCAAACAAAGTAAAAACTTTAACCAAACCAAACCAATTATCCAAATTAACCGAACCAAATTATCCAAATAGTGTTGGTTAAACCGGTTACCATGGTAACCACACCGTTTGAACACCCCTAGTTCGATATACCTATTAAACCTCTCTAGCTCGATTCAGTTCGACTCGATTCATTTGCATCCCTAATTCTCTTTTGGAACAAGGAAGCCTTTGGCTAAATCCAAGCCCAGTCACTAGTGTTTAGACAGCTAGTCTAATCAACCACCAAAATTGTTGTTATACCAATTAACCCCTCTACATTAAGAAATAGAGGGACTAAAATTTTCTTGTTATGCTAATGTTGTTTACTATGATATCATTTGTTTTCGAGAGAAGTATGACTAATGGAAAATAGTAAGCTATGATATAGGAGTTTTGTCGGTGAATTACAAAGTAGAATTAAAGAAAGAGTTGTGTTCGATCAAATAATGATTAGTTATTGCAACGAATCAGGTCGGGTAGATATGCATATTTATTACTTTATTTAAAGTAGTTCGGGTTTTACTCATACTCACATAAAAATCGAGTAGAAAATTAAAATCATGTTCATATCTGATAGAGTTTCAAATATCCATGGTTATCCATAAGTAGTAATTTTTCTTTATGACTTCAACAAACATGTTAACAACTACACGTACATTGACATTACATAAGTGGAAAGTAAAACAATGAATCACTAGAATGGAAAATAATAGTTGAAGATAACCGAATTTCATGAAAATATTATATATTTATAAAAAATATATAAAATACTATGAGAAAAATAAAGGTTTATGAGGGGATTTAATGCCCCTGAGAAACATAGGTTATTAGTGGAAAAGTTCAAAGAAATCATGTTGATTTAGTAGCTATACTTGAGACTAGAGTAGCAGTTAGTAATGCAGATAATATAATCCGTAATCAGTTCCGGGGTTGGTCCCATTTGAATAACTATAAATACTCTAATTCAGGCAGAGTTTGGATGTTCTGAAAACAGTCTATGAAAGTTGCTGAAATTGCAATGAGTGAGCACTTTATTTAGGTCAGGGTAGAGGGGGATGTAGAATGTTTGGTTACAACCATTTAAGCAACAAATAAGTCTCAGGAAAGGGTTCAGATGTATCATGTATGCATCAATGTTGTCTAAATGTGTTCTAGATGCTCCAACAGTGTTCATGGGGATTTTAATGATGTGGTAGAAGTATCAGAGGCATCTAATATGTCAGTGTTAAACTATTGTGGGTTGTTATTGGATTCTAGTCCTTTAGTGGATTCTGTTCCTAAACCATTTAAATATTTTAAGATGTGGCGGCAACACCCGAGAGATGAAAGTATACTGTCAGAAGCTTGGAAGGAGGAAGTGCAGGGGGGCTGCTTACAAACAATTTTATAGGAAGCTGCAAACTAAGGGCAAACTGAAGACTCTAAATAAAGAGAGTTACTCAGATATTTTTGCTAGAGCTTGTGAAGCTGAGGCAGCACTGGAAAGGAGACAGTTTGAAGTGCTTCACAATCCTAATGCTGCTACTATTGGTTTGGAACTGGAACAGGCAACTGTTTGTCATGAAATGCTACAGGCTGAAGAGAGTTTATATAGGCAAAAATATCGAGCTAACTAGATCCAAAGTGGAGATGCTAACACTGCTTTTTTCCATCGAATGGTGAAGATCAGGAATCACAAGCAGACTATTAGGAAGTTAGTGAAGGATGATGGTAGTGCTATCACATCAGTTAAGGAAATGGGGACAGAGGCTGTTGAATTTTACCAAAGGCTTTTGGGAAGAGTGGATCCGGCAGTTCAGTCTCATTCAGTAGAGTATTATGGTGCCATTCTCCAACATAAATTGGAAGAAGTGGAAGTTGCAGGTATTATTTCCCCAATTACTAGAGAGGAGATCAGGGGAGTTTTCAGGAAACTTCCAAATGACAAGGCGCCTGGCTCCGATGGGTTCTCTGCTGAATTCTTCAAAGGAGATTGGTCTGTTATTGGTGATTCAGTTGATAATGTTGTTCTAGAATTCTTCCAAACAAGGACATTGCCTCGGCAGGTAAATTCCACGATCTTTGGCTTTGGTTCCTAAATTGCCTATTGTTGATCGTATGAAATTTTTTTTTGTCCAATATCGTGTTGCAATGTCTTATACAAAGGGATATCAAAGATTCTTTCCAATAGACTTGCTGCTCTTCTTCCTCTAGTGATAGGTAAACCGCAATTTGCATTCATCAAAGGGTGTCTCATTAGTGATAACATCTTGATGGCATCATAGCTGGTTAAGGATTGTCACAAGTCTACTATTTCATCACGTTGTGTCCTAGGTGGCAGCGGCAAATGATGATGGTGGTGATGACCGGCCACCGGTAACGACGACGATGATTTGGATGGCCGACCGAGAGAGCGAAGAGTTGGGATTGCATTTCTTTACCAGGAGGATTGGGAATGTGAAAAGGATGGGTAAAAGGAGTCGTGGAAGGGAAGGATTCAGGGACATTTTTAGCGTTTCTTTTTATTTTTGTTTTATACATTTATTATTTAATCAAATCGAGACCAATAACCAAAACCAAAGCAATCTTACTTCTACTGCGCGGATTCACCACCTGCACAGGTGTCGGCACCATAGAACACCCCCTAAAATCAGTAATAAAACTTAAGCTCTCAATGTTATATATTTCCCACAGAATTTAAAGTTTTGGCTCGAATCATAATAAGAAAACAGAAATGTAATGGCCCACGACAGCATAAGAAAGAGAAGCCGAAGCAAAGATGAGGCAAAACATGAAGAGTTCTCAGATCTAACGATTTCTCACTTTGCATGCACCATTTCCCGTATGTGTGTCTTACTCTCCGAAGCCCTGTCGCTTGCCCAAGTTTATTTAAGTCAACACCAAATTCAATTTAATTTGCATACTCACCTCTAAGATTCTTGCGACTAATCGATCTTCTTTCCATGTTAGGGATTAGAGGTTTTGATTGAAAAAAGAGAAGGAGACATGACAACCCGTGAGAGCAACTCTCAGGTGAGCCATCAGGACCAGACACGAGGTAGGGCAACATTGTCGGGTGTGGTAGGAATCTAATTTTATTTGACTCAATCGAGATCCATCCAACCCTTTTTGAACCATGTGTGCCCAGATGGGTAAATCAACAAGAGGAAGATTGAAATAAAAGAGATATGAAAGAAATCGGTAAGGATAGGAGTGAGTAGGAGGAAGAAGGATATTTGATTACAAGGAGATAGGAAATTGAAGAGAGTGAGAAGAGTGGCGCAAGAAACAGAGGAACGTGTGAACAGAGGATTCTAGAAGGGATTTTTTGTTTTGTTTTTGTTTATTGGTTGTTTTACAAGACCACTCCACTTAGCGAGAAAGTAATCGAGGGAAGGGTTAATTTCCTTATTATTTAGTTTTCCAATTAAATTATTATTAAATGTACATTTTTTCTTCTTCTATTGACACACCTCGTGCATTTTCATTTAAGCCCAAATATTTTTATCGGGGAAGGAATTAATTTTCTTATATAAGACTGTTGTTTCTCTTTTCGATATTCATGAACAATGTTAATTCTATATTATCTTTAGTTTTATTTCATCACTATGATCTGTTGCATAATCGTGTTTTTCTTAGGCATATATAGTTTTTCTCATCCCACCTTGCGTGTTTGAGTATTTTTACTCATACTTTACCAACTACGACAACTACCACGAACAACACAACACATATTCGCATAATCTTAAATCTTTGTTCAATAAACTCGAATGTGATGAAATTTTTTGTTATAAGTTGAAATCTTCCGAGCACAAGCTAATTTTATGAATATATTTCGACAGGTGAGTGATTATGGTGTACATGAAACTAATGCCTACTTGTCTTTCCCAAATTTATGATATGAGTGAAATTTTGGTACGCATCACACATTACTATCATGCATTAAGAAACTTTGATATGTATTGCGCTACTTCTTATATACATTGGTCCCAACATCTATAATGCGATTGTACTCAATAGACCCACATCACAACCACTACATCTAGTTACTGGTTTATAACGGGAGGACTCAGAAAATATAACATTTCAAATTACACTCGCCCAATATGGGTCGTTCGATCTAGTTTCATATCCAACGACCTAAAACCACATACTTCAACCATCCATGTAAGCCTGTAACCA